ACTTATTTGTCATTGTCAGCAGAACTGAGAATAAGCCTTATTGAAACATGAACATTGTGAAAAAAAATATATCTTGTGCTCCATCATAAGAATTTCTTTGCCTAAATTCTAAAAAATTGCTTTATTTCTAATTATTGTGGACACATAATAGTTGTACCTAAATGCACATGTGATGTTTGGATACAGTATATAATCTGTAATGATCAAATCAGGGTAATTGAGGTATCCATCACTTTAAGCTTTTATCATTTTTTGTGTTAGGAATGTTTCAATTCCACTCTTATAGTTATTTTGAAATATACAATAAGTTATTGTTAGCTATAGTCACCCTATTGTGCCACCGAACACTAGATTTTACTTTATCTAACTGTATTTTTGTACTCATTAATCCTCCTTTACTTATCCCTCTTCTCCATTACCCTTCCCAGCCTGTGGTAACCATCACTTTATTCTCTATGAATTTGTAATAATTATATTTCTAGAGCAAAAGATAAACTCTGCCTACTTGGGTCTTGATTCTCTTAGGAGGGATAAGTCGTGTCCAAGAATACAATACAACAAGAGAAAATGGTGTCAGTAGTATGATGTTATATACTATACTTTCATGCTATACTAAATGGTGTCAGTTTCAGATAAAATGACCTTAGAATTCAGAAGAAGGAAGTTACTCCAGCTGGAGCAATTAGGAATCAGGAAAGTCATTGTAAGCAAAGTGGCATTTTTGATAGACCTTGACGTTAAAATATGGAAATTAGTAGGGAGGGTGATGAATCCAGCATTCCAAGGAAAAAGCAATGGGAGAAGGAGGTGTGAGGCACCAATTGAAAAGAGGACTTGATCTTCCTGAGTCTCTAGTATATGAAAGAGAACAATGGGCTGTGAAGTGGTAGATGGTGCAAAGCTTTGAATGTCTGACGGGCACTTTAATCATCAGGCTTGGACCAGGCATAAAGGGTTTTAAGAAGGAGAATGACAGAACCAGAATTGTGCTTTTGGAGATTTATTCTGGCAGCAGTGTGTAGGATGGATTGAAGGAGGTGATGCCAGCTCATGCTCAACAATTCCTTAAAGTGGAGAAAAGGCACAGCCGCAGTAGAGACTAACCCACGTGCCACTGAAAATTGCCCTGTGTTTCACCTGCAGCACCAATTTGAAGACTCTCTGCCTCTTTCCAGAATACCATGGATCTGTGAACAGTTAAAATCTATCATATGAGCTATGTGGAGCTAACCTGACAGGGATAATTATAATAAAAGATATATATCATTCCCTAGGACTAGGGGTAAGGGCGATATAACACTCTAACACTCCTACTTTGTTCCCGTTTTAGCTTTTGAAGTTTTATAATAGTAAGTTACTTAATTTGTCTTGAGATTTGAGCTGTACCACTGATATAAGCTTTCTAATTATCTTTATCAACTTGGCTACAGAAAGGAAAAGTGTGATTTCACAATTTAGATTTGCAGATAGCAAATAGAATGCTAATTGACATTTTGGAAATATGATTTTCAAACTTAGCAGAGTGGGTAACAGCAAGAAAAATGTTTCAACCTGAAATCATTTGGAAAGCTAAAATAGATGTTAAATTTAAACTGGAAGGGAAAGTGAGGAGAATCCTGCTTGAGGCTTTAATGCTTTGATTAAACTTGATAGTGGGTTATCTTTAGGTTAACTTCTACTTCAATATGAGCTTCATTCCATGGGCAGGCCATTGTAATTATGTATAATAGAATTTTTTTCCAAAATACATTACAATGTCTGAAGGAGATAATCACTTTTTAACATAGAGAAAAGAAAATCTGTCAAAGAGAATGAAGAAATCCTACTTGCCTTTCTTGTCTGTACCGCCTGAAGTGAAATGAAATTGTTTTTCTGTTATCAGGCCAAGTGCAGACATACTTTAAGAGACCAGCCTTCCTTAAAGATTTTATCAGGTAAAGACATCAGTTCTGCCTTCCTCCTTGCTTCAGGGCACTACAAATGGCTTCAGAGCACATCTTTATGCTAGTTCAATGGGAGGAATCATTGTGCAAAGTTTTGCAGAATAAAACTCCCCTAAATTCTCAAGAGACCAGTTACACAAAGCTGTGAGCTGAATTTTGTTATATTCAGATTCACTATCTGTGTCTCTCATGAGCTTTGCATTTCAGCCAGGATATTTTGGACCTAAGGAATATTTTACCCTTTCTCTTTCTCCAGGAAGCAACAATTCAGTATAAAAGGAGTTATATAATGAAGACACAACTGTGAGCTTTGAAACTATTTTTAATTGCCAGAGCCTACTTCTTACCATAAAATGATTTGTAAAGCATCATAATTTGGGATAGAAAACAATGGCAATCTTGAAGAAGTTCCAGCAAGGATATCAGAGAGATAAAGTAGAGAAGCATTCAAAAAGGGATCAGAGGACACATCTATGCCCAGGTCCACTTGATTCCAGAGCTTATAGAAAAAAACTTAGAGATATATTTAGTGCCATTGAAACAGTTCCCATCTTTACATAGGGAGAGATTAGCATTATATTTTGAGATACCATAGAGAAGGAGCCTGTCTTTTAATGTCCAGTGCTACTCAGGATTCTGTCTTTGGTCATAGGCTCATCTAATGGGTCATCTCTTACCTGTCATAGTTTTACTTATTACACACTGTACATGCTTGTGAGATCCAAGTCTAAAAATTCAGCCCAGACCTAATCCCTGAGGTTCAGATTTGAAGATTTGTGTAATGACCTACATTTATATGTGGGTATCCCTCCCACAGGCATCTGGCACCCATCCTGTCTTCTAGAGTGCCCTGTCCTCTCTCATAGAACTCCTTGTATTGAGTTCTAAGTGCTTGGCACTGCCTATCTCTTCCACTGAACCAAAAGCACTGGGAAGGTCAGGGTGATGTCTGTTTTGTTCATAAATAAAAGCCTTGCTCCTGGTACATAGCAATTGTTCAATAGGTATTTTCTGAATAAAATGGATTATTGGAATGAGGCTTGAAAAATTCTGGATAATTATAATTTTATAAAATGTCCTTTTTGCACAATCCTCTCTCCAGCCACTGCTATTTAAGATGAAGGGACTCCATTAGGACTTACTTAAGTGCCTGCCTACTTAGGGTCACAGCTCACTGATTTGCTATGTAGTCATTTTGGACTATGATTTGTTGTATGACTTGGCCTATGACTATTCTGCCAAGTACAAATAATTTAAAATTATCGACCATTCAGTTGATAAAGTTGTAAATAGATAATGATTGCCCTCCAGAAGAAAGTTGCTAAAAATGCATATGTATTCAAAACAATACCTGAGAAGCATAATATAAAAAGTGTTTGCAGTCCCACAACACAGTTCAATGAAAGCTGAGCTTTGCCTCACAGAGAATAGGCAAATTGAATCTGGAAACCTTGGAAAACTATAAAAATCTAATCAGGAACTGTCCTAAATGAACTCCGATTGCTTAGGTATGATAGAGGAGCCAGTAATTATGCCCATCAGTAAAAGGAATGAAGTGCCTTTTAAAAAAGCCCTTCCATTTCTCCTGTTTAATACATAAATATAAAATTGGGGTACTTACAAAAAGTATTTAGTCGTCATGGGTAGTGAGCAAGATAAATGTTTGAGGATCCAAATATGGTAAAGAAATACATATAAACAATTTTGGAAGAGCATCAAAAGTTAAAAAGCATATCAGACCGTCTGGGACTTGATTCACTTTAACTTATCTGGATGTGCTCCGTGCCCTCCCTCAGCCAGCTGCTTCATTTTTCCCTGCTCTCTTTTCCTTAAAATCACAAAAGGACGTTTGGCATTAAGGGTTGCTGTGAACTAATTTATATTGGGTGATAGTAGAAAAGCTGACATTTCTTCTAAGTGTGCGGGATTCCCTATGAGTAGACAGTGTGAGAAAATGCTATAAATACTTCTCAGATCTCTTCCCAAGTATGAAATTGAGAAATGCCCTGAAAAGTCAGAGTTAGACTGAATTTAGCTAAGAAAATACAAATCCTATGATTTCTGCTACAAAGGTATCTGCATCAATATAATGACCATTAAATCTCAGATCTTTACAAAGGTCTTCACTCAGGCAAGACAAAAACAGTAATTTGTTAAATAAGACTATGGGAAATGCTACCAACCTCCTGAGGTCTCTCATTTATCACTTTGTCTTGATTCTCACTTCTCCAATTTCCTTATAGTTTTCAATTACGAATGCTAGGATCACTGCTGTCATTTTAAAAATGGAATGTCTTTATTTCTTTATACCATTTGCATTTTAATTTCCTGCCCCTTTCAGAGACATTTCTTTTGCTAAGTTATGGCCAGCAGCCAATCTCAATCTGAAGAGGAAATGATTAAAATCTTAATTCTCCTGGAGGGGGATCTACTATATTTATCTTTTGTTTCTGGATTTGATCATCAGACTGTATATTTCTGCCACATTAACCTCATTTTAGCAGGAGTTTTCAATGTGAGTGAGGGAAAAAAAGTAGAAGAGATGCTTTCAATCCAGTGGTTAATCTGTTTGAAATAACCTTTGCCTTCACAAAATAGGTAGTGGTAGTTTATATCACTCATTAAATCAGAGCTCAAGACATGTTTTATAGTATCAAATTAATAATATTCATTGTGCTTCTAAAAGTTGTATATTAGCAAAAGTGAAAGAAATACATGAGCACAGAGTAGCAAAATCATTTTCACAAATGGTGATCCTCTGTTAATGTTGAGTTTTTAGTTATTTAGTTGTCTAGCCAACTTATCTGGTCAAATTTTATTTTTTAAAAATACTATTTTTCTTAAATTCTAAGAGTAATATAAAAGCAATCAAACAGTATTTAGTTACATAACACATTAGTTGAAAATTATAAGCTATAAAAGTAGACATATTTTTGGTCGTATGACACAGAATGTACTTCTTAAGCTCTCTAAAGGAAAACACATTTATTAATTTAAGAGTTCAGAGATTGATGGACATTGGGTATAATCTGGTCAAATCACTCTATTTTTTTACAGTTCTATTGGCTCTTTTTTTATTCCATGGAAAGCTTCATTCTGTGACTTAACTTTTCCTATGCCTACAAACAGTGATTGCATTTGTAAGTATCACATCTTCCTATAATATTCTCCAATTATAAACAGAATGTCTTAGATTAAGTAAAAAGATAATTACCTTTTTTCCCAATAGTCAAAAGTTTTTGGCTTTATCTCGTTTGAAGCAAAGTATTTCACGTATATACTTCTGAACCAATCAGTGTAGCTGACAGCTCCTGTATGCAGATTGGAAGACAGGCATAGGCAGTGGATGAGGTCCCATGGGCTGGAACCAGCAGCAAGCACTGGTCCTTCAAAGTACTTGCTGCTGTACAATAGGAGAGGGGTAGAGCATATGTCAAGGAGGCAATGACAGTCCCTGCAGTTACCCAAACTTCACATTTCCGTTGGCTCTTAAATCACAAAAGCATTCTCTCTAGCGTACAGAAAAATGACTCCCAATCAGCAAAGATTCTCGCAATTCCACAGCAGTTAAGGTTTATTTCCCTGTGATGCCTGTCTTTATTTAAATGCTCTTAGCAAGCTTCAAAGCAATTTTAAAAACTGATTCTGCCGCGCGCGGTGGCTCATGCCTATAATCCCAGCACTTTGGGAGGCCGAGGCGGGTGGATCACGAGGTCAAGAGATGGAGACGGGTCAACAAGGTGAAACCCCGTCTCTACTAAAAATAGAAAAAATTAGCTGGGCATGGTGGTGCACGCCTGTAGTCCCAGCTCTTTGGGAGGCTGAGGCAGGAGAATTGCTTGAACCCAGAAGAAGGAGGTTGTGGTGAGCTGAGATCGTGCCATTGCACTCCAGTCTGGGTAACAACAGCGAAACTCCATCTCAAAAATAAATAAATAAATAAATAAATAAAATCTGATTCTTTGAAATCCAGAGAGTTACTAATTGGGAGTTAGAAAGGGGGTAAAAAACTCAGTGTCAAATGATTTATTGTAAAAGGTCTTTTTTATCTGTTTGGGAAGGAAGAGAGTGTTATGGTCTGAAATGTGTTGTCAAATTCACATCAAAGTCCCAATCTCCAGTACATTTTTGGAGATAAGGTCGTTAAAGAGATGATTAGATTAAAAGGCCTCTCGTGTTTGGCCCCAATCTAAAATGGCTGGTGTCCCTTTAAGAAAAGCAAGAGCTACCAGAGATGAGAGCACAGGAAGGAATGACCAAGTGAAGAGGCAGAGAGAGGGCAGCCACGTGCAAGCCAAGAAAGAGTTTCAGCAGGACCCAATCCTCATGACCCCTTGATCTCAGACTTCCAGCCTCTAGAACTGTGAGGAAATAAATTTCTTCTGCTTAATCTACCCAGTTTGTGGTATTTTGTTATGAATCCCTAGCAAACTAATACACAACGTAGTTTGTTTGCTTTTTGTATCAATAAATATCTGATTGCTGAAACAATTTCTAGTATCATTTCTTAACATATATTTGTTAGGTGCACTCTATTTTTGGTCTAGGACTTTCTCCTGTAACTGGTAAACTGGTATATATATATATATGATACTGCTGGTACTTGTTGAGGTTGATGCATTTCTCTTCACCAGTGAAGTCTAATGCTACAGGAAAGTTTTCAAATTTCACACTGGTCCAGGACTGGTAATTTTTTTTCCAAGTGGCGAATACTTTGAGGAGGAGAGCTGTGAGCCAGTGCAATTAACACCATGGTCACTTTCTAATTTTCTTGTTGGTGTTTATGAACACAACGTTTCCCCTTGGAGCCTTGGGGTGATTTCTGGTGATGCAGGATTTTATGTCCTTAGCTCAGCTAGGTCCAGGTTCTTGTCTAACAACCAGGAAAAATCAGGCATGAGGACACTCGAAGAGTGAGTGGAGTAGAATTTATTAAGTGAAAAGAAAAACTCTCATCAAAAAGGGAGGTCCTGAAAGCAGGTTTCCAGTTGCCCTTCATAGCTGAGTACAAGGGCTTTTATAAGCTGATGGAGCTGGTTCTTTGATTGTATAAGGCACGAATTCCAGGTGGAACCATTCCATCCCCCCCTGTATGCATGTGGACCCTTAATCTTCTGCAGGCATGTTTAGGCTGTACCCTATGCAAGTTCTCTTATCTGCTCAAAATATCTGGTGTAGGCACTTGTGGGGCAGGTTGGGTGTTCTCCAGGGACCCTTCCCTTACTGTCTGCCTAAAGCACGCTGGCTAACTCCTTTAACCGGTTTTGAAGATTTTGTTGTTGTTTCTCTAAGCACTATCTCTTTTCATTTTATTTTATTATAAATCCAGTTCTTATAATGTCTAAATGAAATATCTCGTTTTTATTGTGTGCTGAGGTTTGGAACTCAAATGTACAAATTATGGCTGCCTACATATAAAGAACAGAAGTATGTTGCCATTAAATAAAATAATGGGCAGACAATGTTAGTTTGAAATGTTCTTTTTCCCCTCTGTTCCTATTAAATTTGGGTTGGTTCTTTGTTAGAGGAAAGAGAAAGAAAGAAAGTGCAATGCTATTGCCCAGAAACTTATCCCCAAAGGAATTGAGTTAACTGTACCTAGTCCAAGAGAAAGACATTAAATTATGACTGGCTAAAAAGGCTAACCAAGATGTGTGTGTTTACTAGGATTTCTTCTTATATTCTTTGTGTCTATATAATATGATCAGTATCTTCACTTTCATTTTCTCTTTAATTGTGAGACGGGTGTGACAGTTCTGCCCAGGATATCTCAGAGCCTGTTACCAAAGTCACTAAAAACATCACAAAGGAGGACCTTGAGCTCCTCAGAATATGTTAAATAAGTATTCAATGAGGTAAACTGTAAAGATTCTGAGTCTTTTCATAATCTTTTATTATTTTGGTGAGCTAGCTTTTGTGCTTTTCCTTTGAAAGAGAACGCCTGATAAAATGACTTGAAAAATGTACACTGAGTCAGAGTGAACAATACTCCTGGATTTGCAAGTGTTTATTTTAATTATAAAGAAAGTCCCAGTTTATAATTTATTCTAGACAAATAATGACATTTAAAGGCAACCATGGTTTTAATAGTTCTCTGAATCAAGCAAAAACAATTTAGGAAAATTTAAACATTTAAACCTCAGAAATGCCAAAGAAGACTCTAAAGCTAATTCAGTTAATGATTTCAAAATCTTATTTGATCTCTTTATATACACATTTTATAAAACAGGAATAAAAACACCCCTCAACAGAAGCTACTCAGTCCAGCAATTACAATTTGAATCAATATCATATTAATAAACCGCAACACTGCCTTGCATTTTTTTATCTGTTGCTTCAAAAATCACTTGTCTTCAAATCTACTGTCTTTTCTTTAGAGACAGTCTCATTCCAGAAACACAGAAATTTTTGCTTAATGATATGATGCAAATAAAAAGAATACATTTATAAAATATAATTTATCTAGCTATTTTTTTCTCTAACTCTAAAATTTTATCTGTGAATATCAATTATATTATCCAGTCTTTTACAATCACTAATAGAACAAGCATTATTAGAAAAGATGATTAGATAAGGCCTCAACTATGATGATTTTTAATTAGCACTTTTGTAATATGATTTGCTGAAGAAAATATGATTAGTGGTTACTATAATTTTTACAATGTCATTTATCTGAGCTTGACTTTTGTGTCATTTTTGTAAATAAACACATAAATGAATAAAGGGACACACTCTCAAAGATTCCATTTCTTATATGTACTTTTTTAAAGCAAGGTGGTGGTTTAATGATCTTTAACTCATCTTGACATCATAATGGACAAACAGTGGAGAAAGATTTTCCCCACTATGTAGGTGTATGATATTAAAGCAATAAACACTATGCAATGTAAGTTAAATTATCTATAATATATATGATGTGAGTGTGTGTGTGCGTGTGCGCGTGTGTGTGTGCATGTGGATGCACTTCCTGAGACTAGCAATTCCTTTTTCAGGAGCATTTTATGAAATATCAAATATTAATCTATCTGAATTTATGATCTGACAAGGGGAATTATTAACTTCTCTTAGATGGAAACCGCTTTGCAACAGGGCAAAACAAATTGGTCCCTAATTTCTAATCACTCCTTCAGTAATTCTAGGGACAGACACTCATTAATCAGTTCTCAGATAAGAAACGTGCTCTGTTCTTTTAATGATCAAGTATTCTGGGGAGACTTAAAGAATCTCCAATCATCTCTTCCACTTCCATAGTATTAGAGTTGTTGCTTCATCACCCAAATTACCCATAACTTTCCTCTATACCATTAATGACTAAAATTTAAGCTCTCGTTTCTTTTTCCCGAATCAACCGCCTAGGCTTGCATCTTCAGAACTTTAACATAATTTGTTAAATTTATTTATAGGAAATTGCTCATAGATTATCTGCTGCATCCCCATTGTTGTCCTCTGAATGGTGATATACTATTAAGTTGAGCCAAAGAAAAAAATAATTGAAAGCATCTTTTCTCTAGAACTTCCCTCCAAAAATGAAAGAATTAAATAAGACATGATAAATTAGAACATAAATTATTAAGATGGATTCTACAAGACTAAATGTACTGGTAAACTTCTATGTCTGTAAAATGATTTTAAAAATTTTTTAAAGTGTAATTTGTAGAAACATCTCCCAAAATAAGCTTTCAGAGCCAGGCTAATTACACTGACTAAATCTTTTTGACTTGTTTTTTTTTTCTCATATAAAGTCTGCCTATGGTGCTTCAAAGCCCTCTTTATTCTTTAAACTGTTTCTGCTGGAGTCAGGATCCAGGTTCCATTCATTTTTCTCCCATTTTAGTCCTTAGCATGGTATCTAGTAACTGTTAAACATGACTGAATGAATCAAGCATTACAATTTCCTATATGAGTCTTATATAGACAAGATTCCAAAAACATTTATTATTTTAGCAGTGGAGGTAATAAATTATTGTGATAAACTGCATCCGTGATCCATGCATTATCAGTGATAAAGTTAACCATGTCAAATTTTAATTATGGCCACAGCTACTTTCTGCTATTCTACTTTATATTCACTGATTATACCTTTAATATTATTTTTCATTAGCTTAAATTTATATTACCAAAGAAACAAGAAATTAATTAGGCTAACAGATAAAATCAGGGGATAGGAGAATTTTCAGGACACTTATTAGTTAGATTAAAATAAAATGTTTTGTACTTTTACCTACAGACATTTTCATTGAGCTTTAAAACATACTGCCATTCCCTGTGTTTTCAAATAAGAAGATGGCTCAAAGCCACACATGGCATGCACACCACTGATTTAATTTTTGGCACACTGAATTCAAACTAGGAATTCTGAAATCTGTGTCAATGATGGAATTGTGGCTTTGATGAAGAGTCTGGGGAAAGAATGGGGAGGAAACTGTGAGTAAAGTTCTCCATTGCCCAATCTTTCAGCACCTAATAACTTGTGCTGATGAAAAATACCAGTCATGCTGTTTGAGTTTGCAGAATAAATAGCTTTAATTTCCATTACTAACTGAGCTTCCATTTGAATAACGAAGACTTGGTTTACTGGACTGGTTTACTTGGAATACTTACCCTGGCCAATCCAGTGAAATAATTGGTAAGTGTAGTTAGAATAATATGTATGAAAGTTTTTTAAAAAGTAAATGCTATAAACAATCAAGGCATTATTTATTAAATTGTTAGATGCAATGTAAAAAATTTATCCAACTTGATGATTCACTAAATTTTTCCAAATCAGTCAAACAATGTACAAAAGAGGAGCTAATAATAGATACTGATAGCTTTTACAAATTCTCTGTCATAGATAACTAGCTCTTATCTATGGAAATAGGCTTTGGTTATAACATGAGAAAATGAAAATGCACATCTATCCATAAATGCATTTTGATTGAAAATATAATCTTTTTACAAAGCGAAATTGTCACATTTGGAATTTTCTATTGCTTATTATTTACTTGAAGTAGTAGAAATAATAATGAGAAGGTGCTAACAATTGAGAGAAAGAGAGTATGGGTGACAGAAAGAATGAAAGACAGTATCCATTTTTAAACTATGATTATGAAAAGGTGAATTGTAATTACTGGTTAACCTCCATCTACTTTCATAGGGTCAATTAGGAGGGGTTATATTCCTCAATAGAGGAAAATCTGAATTCATTCTGCAACACCAGAGTAGAAATAGTAATTGGCATAAGACCAAGCTCAGGGAAAAGCTTTATAGCTAGAAATTTACTATCATCTGAATGTTTATGTCTGCCCCAAATTTATGTCAAAACCTAATCCCAAATGTGATGATATTAAGAGGTGAGCCCTTTGGTGGGTGATTAAATCATGAGTACAGAGCTCTCCTGGATAGGATAAGTACCCTTATAAAAGAATCGAGGAATATCATTGGCTTCTTCCACCACAAGTGGACACAGCTAGAAGACATCTTCTATGAAGAACAGGTGCTCCCCAGACACCAAATCTCTCAGCACCTTAATCTTGGAATTCCCAGCCTTCAGAGCTGTGAGAAATAAATATTTGTTGTTGATAAGCCACCCAGTTTATGATATGTTGTTGTAACAGCTTGAATGGAGTAAGAAACATAGATACAGCAAATAAATATAGATATAGGTAGATATAGATAGATAGGTAACCAGGTTTATTTTGACATCTTTTGAAGAATATAAATAGTTTCAGATTTAGAGGTGGCTGCCTGAATTTGGATGTGAATATCTACAGACCACACAAATATTTATGGGATCTAGAATACAATTTCACACCTTTATCCTCTGAGTTTATATTTTCTGTTCAATAAAAGCTGTATTATACATTATGTAGATTTTTAAATCAGTACATATAACTTCTTCATTACTAATATGTGAATGCCGGCTATCCCCCAAAAAAATACACCTACCTCATTCTGCCTTTTACCATGAGAAGTGAAGGAGTGACAATCACCATTCCAAAAATTTATGCTAGTGGATTTTGACTTCTTTCCTCTGTAAACTGAAAATAAAATTCTAAGCCCCCCTACAACTATCTAAAGGGACTCGCTCCTCTCAGCCAGGGTATTCCACAGTTAACCTGAAAAATTGGTTCAGACCATGGCAGGATGGTAGAGGGTGGGGAATGCCTCATTATCTCCTCCTCTGTTTTGGAATTCAGGAAAACTGGCCAGTGTTTAATGTAAACATAGAACATAACTATGATAAGAAACATTTACATGCTATTCTCTCTTAATCCTGCTACCTGGAGGTTTCATCTGCATGATAAAACTTTGGTCTCCACAACCTCTTATTATAACTCAGAAATTTCTTTCTATTGATAATAACTCTTTCAACCAATTGCCAATCAAAGAAGTTTTTATTCTATCTACAATCTGGAAGCCACCTACCTAGCCTTGAGTTGTCCCCTTTCAGGACCAAACCAATGTATATCTTGAGTGTATTTGACTGATGTCTCATGTCTCCCTAAAATGTATACACCAACCTGTGTCCCATCTACCTTGGGTACATATTTGCAGGAACTCCCAAGGTTGTGTCATGGGTGCATCTTTACCTTGACAAAGCAAACTTTCTAATTTTTTTAAAATGAGCATAAGTTTTTTTTAAATTATAAATTCTGGGGTACATATGCAGATCATGCAGGTTTGCTACATAGGTATACATGTGCCATGGTGGTGGTTTGCTTTATCCATTGCCCCATCATCTACATTAGGTATTTCTCCTAATGCTGTCCCTCCCCAATTCCCCCAAACCCTGTGCTTGCTCCCCAGCCCCTTACTCCCCAATAGGCCCCAGTGTGTGATGTGCCCCTCCCTGTGTCCATGTGTTCTCATTGTTCCTGAGTTCTGTCTCAGATACTTTTGGATTCACAACTCAAAACACTGCTCCAAATACAGTCTACTCTTAAGCCCATCAAATGAGTTTTTAATTTCAGACAATATATTCTCACTTCTAGAATATTCATTTGCTTCTTTTTCATCTGTTCCAATTCTTAAAATTCTGCATCTTTTCTTCCAATTTGTCCACTTTCTTAGTCATAAAAATGACAATTTTATGACTAAGTGACATCCTAAGAGATCAAAAGATTCTCCAGACTTTTCATACTTGACTTTAGACAAAATCCCAGGTACAAGCAATATTTAAAGATTGTACCTTTAATGTCCTAAATTTTTATATGCTATCTGAATAACGAATTGCATTTCTTATTAAATCTCTGTAATAGCACATATATTATCAGAAACATCCAGATCCACAGCCCAGACAATGATGAGATACAGCAATATAGTGAAATATCACAAAGTACTAGCATTACTTCCTTGGGGCAAGTTCATCATGGAAGCAGCCAAAGAGTGGCCTTGTCAAACTAAAATAAGAGCATTTTAATGACAGAATCTTTTACTGAGGGGCAATTCCAGTTAGAAAGCAGTATCTTTATCTTTCAAACAATTTACTTGTATTTACCACACTTCAGATAAAATATGGCAAAAATCCAGAATGATAAAATGTTTCCAGTCAAATGTTTTCTTTGATGACAAACAGTATTAGCATGTTAAAAGTCAACTAATCCTGCTTAAACTAATAGCAATTGATTCACAGATCTTTGCTAAGGTAGAATGTTTAAATCTTTTTTTTTTTTTTTTTTTCCTAGACTAGGGTCTTTGGCGTTATACTGCTGTTCATGGATTTTGTGTTCAGAAACGAGTTTGTGTAATAAGCTTTAATATAATTCTGTGGTATCATTATTTGGTAATGGTTTCTTAGCGGGTACATTCAGCACACTGTGGAAAGTCTCAATGTAAAATACAAGAGCTATCAAGATCCACTGGAATAGTCTCATGGTTAGTCAATGTTATTTGTTAATTAAAACTTTTGGCAAAAGTTGTGACAGTATATCAAAGATGAGGGTGCTTTTTGATCTGTTCACTGGGGAAAAAAGCCAGCGCCCCTGAATTGCTAGAGAGTCCACTGGATTTTCCTATGTGGACATTGAGGCAAGTCAAGTTACAGAATGTACTTTGTACATTTCACCAAATATTTTCAGGATCCTTTAGGTATGGTATAATGTTGTGTCTAAGATTCTGTCATTCCTCTGAAGATGCCTGCTGGGGTTGCCCAGACAATTTGCTCTACTGCAAAACTTTTCAAGTTTTCTCATGTCTCCTTCCACCTCTTTTCTTCAGTATGCCTGCTTCTCATTCTTTCCTGTAGTTGTACCTGTTAGGAAAAGCTAAATGCCTCAATTCCTTTACTCTTTCCTGCTCCTTATCTCTTATGATCCCATTCTCTCTTGTTCCTTCTCACTGACGGTCTTGGCATTTTAGTAAGAACCAGTCACTCTTTTAGGGGAAAATTTCCCACTGATGTCACATGAATAGTATCTGGGTCATCCATTCTTTTACATTTCTGGATTATATAAATAATCACATAGAGAGAGAGGGCTATTTTTCACAGCCCTAAACCTTCTCTTCTCTGATTCTAGTGCTCTTCTGGATATGTGAAATTATCTAGAAGACACAATCCATATATTTGAGCCACTACCACACATAAACTTATGGTTTGAACATGAAGAATGCATATAAAAATCTGTGCATAGGCCGGGTGCGGTGGCTCAAGCCTGTAATCCCAGCACTTTGGGAGGCTGAGGCGGGTGGATCACGAGCTCAAGAGATCGAGACCATCCTGGTCAACATGGTGAAACCCCGTCTCTACTAAAAATACAAAAAATTAGCTGGGCATGGTGGCGCGTGCCTGTAATCCCAGCTACTCAGGAGGCTGAGGCAGGAGAATTGCCTGAACCCAGGAGGCGGAGGTTACAGTGAGCCGAGATCGCGCCATTGCACTCCAGCCTGGGTAACAAGAGCCAAACTCCGTCTCAAAAAAAAAAAAAAATCTGTGCATAATCTGCTACAGACCCAGTCATAGCTGGTGTTTGGTGGAAGGTGTGTTTAGGAGCTTGGAGAATGACTGCCCTAAGAAGTAAAAATGAATTGCTTCTCTTGTAGCTTCTGGAGGATACCAATACCATCCACACTGTTTTTATCTCCTGTCTCCAGATATGATCCAAGGATATTTAGCAATAGCTAGTGCTAATAATCAAAGACAAAAGATATTAGGAGTAGACATTTCAATCAAATTCTGGAGAATATTTTTGTTTATTCTGATGATCTAGTATAATGTTTTTGAAACTTTAATATGCATACAAATTAACTGGATGTTTTGCTAAAGATGAAAATTCTGATTCAGAGTAAGTCTGGGGTGTGACCTGAGATTCTGGATTTCTAACATGCTCAAAAGGAAAACAATGCTGATGGTCCAAAGACCATACATTGAATTGCAAGAGAGTAGGGTCAATATAGACGCCATTAGCCACACATGGCGATTTATGGTGCTATTCAAGTCAACAGTATTTTACTGATTTTCTGCCTGCTTGATCTATCAATTATTGAAACAAAAGTGTTGAAGTCTCCAACTATAAACATGGATTTGTCTATTTCTTTCTGCAATTCTATCAGTTATTATCTCATGTGTTTTGATACTAATTTAATGTTAGGCATACACATATTAAGGATTGTTATTTCACTTCTTGAACAGTTGAATCCTCTATCATTATATGGTGTTTATCCTTTCCCCTGGTAAATTTTCTTTTTCTGAAATAGGCTGTTTCTGAAACTAAGATAGCTAGCTATCCAGCCTTCTTTTAATTATAATTAACATGGTATGTATTGGTGCATCCCTTTACATTTAAACTAGCTTGTCTTTATATTTAAGTAGGGATTTTGTGGGCAGTTTTTACTCCTTCTGCCTTCTTTAAAGACTTTTTGCTCTGTCTTTGGTTTTCTGTGGTTTGAATATGGAAACTGCTTAGATATAAAACTATTGGCATTTTATCTTATTTGCCTTGCTCTGAACTTCATGGATCTGTGGTTTGATTTCTGTTATTAATTTTGAAAAAACATAACCATTGGTACTTCAAATGTTTCTTCCTCTTCATTTTCTGTTACTTCATCTGATATTTCAAGTATGTGTATGTCACTCTGTTTGAGATTGTTCTATAGTTCTTGGATGTTCTGTTCTTTTTTTTTTCATTTTTTTATTTGTGTTTCAGTTTGGGAAATTTATAACGACATATCTTCAAACACTGATTCTTTCCTTATCTGTGTCCACTCTACTGATGAACCCATCAAAGGCATTTTTCATTTCTGTTACAACGGTTTTGATCTTTACCATTTCCACTTTATTCTTTTTTAGCTCTTTCATTTTTCTGCTTAAACTTCTCATCTGTTCTTGCATGTTTTCTATAGAGCCCTGAACATATCAATCGTTGTTATTTTAAATTCTGTCTACTAATTCCAAAATCTGTGTCATAGCTGAGTCTTGCTCTGATGAGTGCTTTTTCTCTTCATAACGTGTTATTTTGTTGTTGCCTTTTAGCATGTCTTATATTTTTATTGATTAATATTTTTAGTTGACATCTAATCATTGTACATATTTATGGAGTACAGTGTAATATTTAAGTATGTATGCCATGTGTCAAATCAGGGTAATTAGCATATCCATCACTTCAAACACACACTTATAATTTCCTTGTGTTGGAAACATTCAAAATCCTCTTTTCTAGCTATTGGCAAATTTACTAAATTATTGTTACCTATAGTTAACCTACAGACTATAGAACATCAGTACTTATACTTCCTATCAGGCTGTTACCTTACCCTTTCCAGTCTCTACTAACTACTATTCTACTTCCTTGTAATTTTTTCTTGAAAGCCAGTAGCAGTGCATCAGTTACTAACTGAAGTGAATAGGCCTTATACATAATCTAACTCCTAGCCAAACTAACATAAAACCACATATTAACATTCAATAATTGTTATAGTAGTATGGGTCTGAAACCAACATTAACTAGTGTCCTTGTTTTGTCTCCAGTGTTGTTTTTGTGCTTCCTTAACAAGTCTTCCTTAAATAGCGCCTACATCTTGCACTCTTTCCATTGTAATCCACTGCTATTATACTGAAGCCCTTTTAGCCTGACATTAAGGTATAGGTGGTAGAGAAGAGTTCTTTGATCTTATGATTAAATTTCATTCTTTTAATGGGTTAAGTAGTCTAGGACCATGGTAGGTCTTTCTTAGCTTTTGATTTCTTCTTAGATCATTTAGGAATGCTAGAGGACGTTAGGGACTTCCTTTCCTGTAGGCCAGATAAGCCTCAGGTAAAGTCTTTTCCCTTTGAGTGGAGGTCTTTGTCATGGAGATTGCTGCAGGTGTATTTCACAAAGGTTATTATCTTCTCTCCCTGTCAGAGCCTGGAGAAGATTTTGGCTCTTCACTGTGAGATTCTTTTGGAAATCCCAAGAAAATGTGAGAGGTCCTCCAAGATTGCATCCTTTACAAGTTTTTCACTCCCATGCTAGTTCACAATCATTTTCAATATTTCATAAAAGTTACCAATTGAAATGTTCCTACCAGTTTATGGCTCCAAGAAAAGTGATGAATTACAAGTTGTTCAGCGTTTTCTTGTTTCAAAAACAGCAGTAACCACTTCCAAGTTTTTGTTTTTTTCTTTTGTTTTTTTAAGAGAAAGAGGGTCTTGCTATGTTTACCAGTGTTAAAGCAAACTGAATATGACCTGAGAAGGACTCCATAATTCTGTATTTGAGTCCTTTTGGACAAACTGTAACCTAGCTTAATAAGCAGACAAGATGGAAAACCTAACCTAAGAGTATGCGCCTGCAACAATAGCTGAGTCTTGGCCAATCCCAGTTGCCATACTTCAACCACTCATAGACTGCTAAATGTTCAAATTGTGTTCAAATAAGGCGAACACCAGCTTGTAACCAATCTAGCTGTTTCTGGTTTCTGTACCTCACCACCGATTTCTCTGTCACTTTATTTATTTATTTATTTATTTTTATTTTTTGTTTATAAATTAGTTCTGGAGGCATCTCTGGAGTCTCTCTGAATCTGCTGTGATTCTGCGGCTTGCCTGATTTGTGAATCACTCATTGCTCATTTAAGCTCCTTTAAATTTAATTTGGCTGAAGTTTCTCTTTTAACACCAAACCTCAAGTAATCCTCCCTTTTCAGCCTCCTGAGTAGCTAGGATTACAGGCACAAGCCACTGTGCCCAGCTAAGCCCTTTACATATTGTAGCTGAAGCAGAATTTCCATATGTGGCTATTTAAATTTAAATTGTAAATCAAAACATACCTGAGACAAGTCTCAATCAATTTAGGAGCTTATTTTGCCAAGGTTAATGACATGCCATGACACAACCTCAGGAGATCCTGACAACATATGCCCAAGGTGGTCAGGCTACAGTTTGGTTTTATACATTTTAGAGAGACAGATGACATCAATCACTACACGTAAAATGTGCATTGGTTCAGGATCCAGAATGGCAGGGCAATTCTATGTTGAGGGTGAGGGGTGGCCTTTCAGGTCTTAAGTGTATTCAAAGATTTTCTGATTGGCAATTGGATGAAAGAGATTATCTAAAGACCCGGAATCAATAGAAGAGAGTTTCTGGGTTAAGATAAGCAGTTTTCGAGACCAAGGTTCTTATTGAGAATAGACTGTAAAAGTTTCTTATCAGATCTGAAGAGTCTGCTCTGTCAGTCTTAAGGTCTCCGTTTTAATGTTAATGTTGGTCAGCTGTGCCCAAATTCCAAATAAAGGAAGGTCAAATGAGACATATCCAACAACCCATTCCGACTATGGCCTGAACTAGTGTTTCGGGTTTATTTTAGAATGCCCTTGGCCAAGAGGAGCGGCCCATTCAGTTGTCTGGGTGCACTTAAATTTTATTTTGGGTTTACCAAACTACGTAAAGTTAAACGAAATTTAAAAGTTTGTTTCTTGGTCACACTAACCATATTTCAAGTGTTCAATAGCCATGTGTAGCTAGTGATTTCTGTATGAGATAGCACCCATGTAGAATATTTTCATCATCACAGGAACTTTTGTTAGTCAGAGATAGGCTAAAGGAATTCCCTAAAGAAATCTCATGAGGCAACTAGAATCACAAGACAAAATGGGTCAAAGTAAAATCTTTTAGAGTAATGTGAATCTTTGTCTCAGGTTCACTAAGAGAGAAAATTCACAATAGAGGATAACTAAAGAGTTGACTCACAATAGTCTGCAGTAATAAAGATAAGAAGTGATCTCTACCCTATTATAGCAATTAGCCTAAGGCAAAAAAAAACCCCCCAAAGAAAACGACCCAACCAAGACAAAGACCTTTACATTTCCATAGTATAGCTAAAGCCAATCTTGGATTTTCTGCAAGTGACTGTCATATCTAGACTTTTATATCTAGATTTAAAAGTGTTTTTCTATGGCTATGTTTTTGTTATTGTTGTTGTTCCTTTTCATTTTTTTTGAGACACAGTCTCACTCTGTCATCTGTCACTCAGGCTGAAGTGCAGTGGCAGGATCTCGGCTCACTGCAACCTCCAACTCCCAGGCTCAAGTGATTCTCATGCCTCAGCCTCCTGAGTAGCTGGGATTACAGGTGTGTACCATCATGCCTGGTTAATTTTTGTATTTTTAGAAGAGACAGGGTTTTGTCATGTTGCCCAGGTTGGTCTTGAACTCCTGACCTCAAGTGATCCAAACCCCTAGCCTCCCAGAGTGCTAGGATTATAGGTGTGAGTCACACACTCGGCCTTGTTTTTATATTATTCTGTATATTTTTCCAGTCAGACAAAAGTCTGAGAATTAGCTATTAAAATGCTAGCTTTGGCTTGTGATTTTGAGTGTGTAAAAAAATCCCCAAGGATATATGCTGATTTAGCCTCAGGAATTATTTAGAAATTAATTTCAAAAACATATAACCCAGAATAAAAGTAAAAACTTTTAAAAAGAAAGGGAGAGAGAGAGAGCATCCACACAATTCATTTGCTTCAGAAACTAAAAAAAAAAAAAAAAAAAATGAGATCTTCGGTACTTTTAATATTAAAGAATGTCATGTAAGTGACAGGCTTAATGGCTGAAACCTTTGAGGTGATTATAGTGCCAGGACAGTTAAATATGATAATGTAATATTAGACCAGAGAAGCATAGTAATGCTGGCATAATCTGTACATTGTCAGTTGATCAAAAATTATCTTACTAGTATAATACAGCAATTAAAAATATCTTTTTATATTTTTTCTGAATAATGCTATATTCTAATATACTGTTCTGAGTTCCTCACAGAAGCCACAAGTTTCTACTTTAAGCAATCTGTTTCTTAAATTGAAGGTTAAAATTAGAGGTTTACCATTTTGCCTTTGATCTTTTACTTTTATCAGAAAATAAGAGCCATTAATTCTGAAATGCCATTGGTTGAAATAAATAAAATATTTCCTATGCTATTTTTAAACTATGATATTTGCACAAAATGTGATATTTATTAATAAGAGCTGATATATGTATGTTGCACTACATAGTTGTCCCTTGGTATCTCTTGGAGCTTGGTTTCAGGATGTCCCACTGATATCAAAATCTATGCATGCTCAAGTGTCTGATGTAAAATGGTATAGTATTTGTCATTGTATACATTGACAGATAACCCCTGCACATCCTCTCATACACTTTAAATTATCTTTAGTCATTACATTACATTACTTTACATTAACTTTGCAACTTTTTAACTTTTTGATTAAATGCTTTCATTACTGAGAGTTCCCAAAATAAATTCCTGAAAATGTAAAATGGTTATTTTAAGTTTTACAGAACCAATGTAATTAAGAATAATGTAAAGACTATTTCTAGGGCTCGAAGTTACTGGATATGATCATTAATCCCTAATAAGCAACTATGTATCCTCAAATATTGAAAACTGAAAATAATAATAAAGATCTTGAAAATTTACAAATCAAATTCCTGGGCCAACCTGATGGCAGCTATTCATAGAAATCAATAAAGCCAGTAATGGGCAAGGATGCAAAAAAGGAAACAACAGTAGTATCATAAGATCTCCTCCCTCCACTTGCAGCATCACACGGTTGGAGGGGTAATGTAGAAATTGCAAATATAGCTAATGTCTATTAATCATTACATGTATCAGGCACCTAACTAATTATTCATTCATTCACACAGCAAATATTTATGAATCACTGAAACTGCCTAGACACGTGGAATACTATAGATGAACAAAACAGACAAGGTTTTCTGTCCTCTTGCCATTTCTATTTTACTAGAAGCCACATAAATAAGTAAATAGTGATGTCAACACTACTAAGGAAAATAAAAAGAGTAGAGTAAGGTTTTTGGAGGTGCCGAGTAAAGAAGAGTAGCTGCAACTTGAAATCTGTGGGCCTCATTGAGAAGGTAACATTTGAACAGAAGTGTTGTCTACCTGAAGAGTGCTCCAGGTAGACAATAGCTGGTACAGTTACCTAGGATGGAGAGTGCTACTCTGCTCGAGATGCTACATGGAAGCCATTGTGTCCATAAAGGAGTCACCAGGGAATTGAGGGGAAAGAGAGTGAAGTAAAAAGGTCAGAGAAATCATGGAAGATGAGACTATAAATATACGTTGAAGATAGAGCCAACCGGATTTCTTGCTAATTGGATACACATGCCAGAGAAGGAATGGAGTCTGCCATATATCCCAAGATTATAGCTTGAGCAACTGAAACGATGAAATTCCTATCAGGTAATATAGGAGAAAAAAACAGATGGAGAAGACTGGGTAGAACATTGAATTTCAATTTTTCTTTTATCTCAAAATAAATTTGAGGTTTGATTAGCTTTATGTGATAATTTTTCATGAATTTGAGATGTCTGTGGGAAATCCAATTGGCAAGATCAAGTAGACATCTTGATATATGAGTCTAGAGTTCAAGAGTGATCTTCTCTGGAGACACATAATTGGTAACTTTGTACATATACGTGGAACAAAATTGAGTATGAGAACCAGGTACTAAGCTCTGGGACACTTGAACCGTGACTGCTAAATTTGGGCATTACTAGGAATGGAGCAGAGAAAAAGTGACCAGAAGGGAGAAAACTAAGAGAAGGTAGTATTTTGATCTAAGAGCAGAAAGTTTATGAAGGACAAGGGGAGAAGCAATTGCCTCAAACACCATTCATAAGTAAAGGAAAAGGGAATAAGATGAAGACTGAGAATTGACCATTAAACTTGGGAAATAGAAGAGTTTTACAAAGCAGTAAGGGGAGATGGCTGATTGGGATGTATGTAATAGGAATAGAAGTAGAAAAGTGAAGAAAGTGAACATGTGGAAAGCTGGTTCAGAGAGCTTTTCTGCAAAGTGAAATACAGGAGTGAATTGGTAGCTGGCAGGGAAGTGAAGTCGAGAAGTTTAATGACTTATTTTAAGATGGGAGATGTCTTTGTATTGGGATGGGAATAATCCAATAGAAAGTGAAAAAAGATAATAGAATGGGGCTCAATATTTTTTATTAGTCAAGAGGTGATGGGACTTACTGTACAAATCAAGGAATTGACTCATAGGAATAAAATTTATCCAATCTATGGCAACAGACAGGAAAGCATGGCATACCTGTACAGATGCTGCTAGGTCTGAACAGAAGGGAGTAGAAGCACATATATGGAATAAAAGTGGGTTGACTTTCTCTCCTTTACATATATCCATAGCAATCAACATGACCAGGAATGGGGGAAACAAATGAGTACCAAGGCCCTGAGGAGGGAGCTGGGTAATGCCCTACAGTGTCCACTACAGTGACTCACCAAGTAGTGAGTAACTAATCTGCTGATGGGCGATTTAATATTGCCTACAGAAATTCTGATGAATATGAAGCAAATATGCTGATTTCAGTTCTAACTTTGAAGTACACTGTGCTGACGATTTCAGTAGTATTTTAAATTAATTTCCCAATTAAATATGGTAAAATAATGCCATTATCATGGAGGATAAGGTTATTGAGAATTCAATGAAATCATTCAAATAAAGAATTCAGCACAGTTATTGCGCATAGTAAGTACTCAATGAATGTCAGGTGTTAGTTAAATGAAACAATCATAATTCTCAGAAAGTAATAATTTATTTTTCATTATTACTAGGTGTGGAGGGGGTGGTTTTGTTGCTAATAGTGTTTTGTTTTTGTATTGGGGGAGGTCTCTACTGAAGATCAGAATTAGATATCCCTCAGGAAGAAGCTGTATTTATTGGAGATGTGCATAATCATTTTAAATTTAAGTCTTTCTCTCTTTAGGTTTTTTAAATTGAAAATCTATTCTGAACTACTTAGGCATTTTAATTAAGACTTTGCTTTGGGGGTCCAAAGTGGCTCCCGCCGGAGGTCATGGCGCTTGCAAAGGTGAGGTCATCAGTTCAAGGCTAACCTGAGCAACCTCATAAGCTCAAACTGATTGGCAAAAAAAAAAAAAAAAGACTTTGCTTCTCTCATATTTAAATCTCTTAAATGCTGTGTGTTTACCAAATTTCTCTCTTTTGCTCTTTAAAATTGTTTATTATTTTAACTTATTTGAGGACATTTAAAGAAACAAATGTTCTCTTGTTGAAAAGAAAGATAATTTCTTATTGCAAAGATGAGTGAGAGTTTAATTTTGCCAACCAAAGAAATTTGGAGAAAACTTGAGTAAGTGATTTCTTTCATTAGCCTGTCAACAGGTTATCTGTTTCCACATGTAATAACAAAACAAGTAATTCTGACTTAATGAAATAAAACCAACCCTGAAAACAAATAGGACTCCTTTGCAGTTGTAACTGAATTAGATACTGAAAAATGCTTGCATTCTGATGTTTTGAAAAGTCTAATGAAATTATAAATATAATATTTCAGTGAAGGAAACATGCATAGATAGCTTAAAAAGAAGCTCAAATTCACTTTGCCACTTACAACTTTTCTTATCTATAAGTAGGTGATATGAAATAATTCAGGAAAATTGCGTTTCAACCCAAATTTCATGAGGTTGCTAAGTAGAAAGTAGTTTGTAATATGCACTAGGACAAATTGATATTGTGATCCTTAGAGTTAAAGTCTTTATTTGATAAATGCAGAAACTCAAATTTAACTCTAACAGAAGTTTAAAATAAGTTATAAATAAGATTTAATGCTAACAGCAGGGATTTATTCTAACCATAAACTGAAAAAAACCCATATTAATAAGTTACAATCATGCATGACAGTATATTAAAATCAAACTGTCCTTTTTTTTCCCAAAAGAATAGCTGATGAACTAGTTAGAGCTAGTTAAACCAGAATAAAATCTCTTTCATACACACACACACACACACACACACACACACACAATTGAATAGTAATAAGAAAATAATGTTATTGTCATTTAGAATCATTGCCTTCTAGGTTGAAAACAATGGCTTTCTTGTGGTATCTTTATAAGTTAATAAAAATCAATAAAGTATATAATAATGACAAAAGAGCCACTGTCCTAGGATTAGAACGAAATATTTTTTCCTAACACTCCATTCAAACACATTTTAGGCCCTGGAGAATGGAACATTTGGGGATTGTGCTCTGAGTCAAGCAGAAATTCAAAGAAAATTGCAATGATCAGAAAAACTGTCTCACTTTCTCTAAGTTACTCATAGCAGTGATTTAGTACATAAATGAAATAACTGTCTACTGTTTTGAGGACAAAATATAGTTCACTCATTCTGCTTTTTTCTCCCTTTCTTTCCCTAAATTCTCACGGTTTTAGCTTTAGCACTTTTGACATCGGGCCGGAGACAAAGACTTGATTGCCGATCATTTGGGGGAGCATGCAATCCTAAGAAAAGGAAGTACAGAACAGGGCAAGTGAAAATGAAAAGGAGCGATAACTGCATTTATCTGTCAGTTCCAACCCTCATTTGGATAAGACTGACTCCTCAGATATTAACGGCCCTGCTCTTTTGGGTTGCTCATGCATGAGTACGTTGCAGGAGCTCAATAATGTTCTATACTCAAGGTAGTAAGCAGTTAGTTTGCAACCCAAGGAAAGGCACTGTTGGGTTGCAACGGCCACAGCTAGTGGAGGGCTGAATGGAGGCAGTCACACCACAGAAACAGGGGCTGCCAGTAAGGTTTAGAGCATGGCAAAATGGAACACAGTAGTTGTCTGAGATGCTCTTCCTCCTCTTGTAATCTAGACTCCTTTAAGCTCCCCCACTTATGGCTCACAAAAATTTTGTTTTTGTTGCTGCTCTGTACATACCAAAGTGATTTTATCTCAAATGCCTGACTTAGTTTTCTGAAGCAGGATAAAAACAAAATAGCGGTATTTTTAACCTTATGTAAAAATTCTAAACAGCATGTAACCTGTCGCGGGACGGGACAGGGCTCAGCTCCCTCCTTGATTTGGTGTGCCTGAGATTCTTGGCTTCTCTTTGCTCCAAGAATGGGGAAGGGGCCCTAGTGGCACCGTGTGCTTTCTATTCAAGCAAATATCGGACCCAAAGAGTTTAGCAGAAAGCTATTTATTAGGCAGAGAGAGAAGAGAAAGAGAGAAAGCTCCCACTCTGCCACGGGAGGGGCATCCGAAGGGGATTTCTGCACAGGTAGAGCGGGAAAAACAGCTCCCACGTTGTTGTGGGAGGGGATCCCAGAAAGTGAAATCCATGCAGGTAAGATGCAGTGGAGTTTTAACTTTGAAGTTATTCCTGTCTCATTCATATTCTTGTCCAATTAGAGGAGTTCTTTCAAACTTCCTCTGGAGTGATTGATATTTGACTCTGATGCTGGATTGACGGGCCCAGAACAGAGGCCCTTTCTCCCAGTGCTTTTCCAGGGCTTTTTTAAACAAGGGAGCACACCTGAAATTTTATCTTGTCCATGCACAGGAAAGTTAGACAAAGAACTCTAGGTTCCCGGATGGGGAGGTGGATGGAGGCCTGGTGCTGGGAAATTCTTGCCTTTGAAACCACGCCCCTTGTGGACCAGGGAAAAGAAGTTAACATAGTCCCTCAAGCAGCTTTAGAAAGGGCCCATGCAGCAAAACTTTGAATCCCTCTACCTTATTCAAGACTTTCCACCACCTCAAAGGATTTCTACTCTTGGTTCCCTTCATTCATCCTAACCCTTGTTAGTCAAGTGTCCTGAAATCCATCCTACCCGTGTCTTGAAATATCTAGCAGAACAAATAATTTTTCTAATGTCTAAGACTTTTTCTGATGCACTACGATTTGACATTTCTTATGATAGAATGTATTACCTCCAAAACCAGTGTCTTAGTTCAGGCTGCTGTAACAAACTATCATGGACTGGGGGGACTTAAATAACAGAAATTTATTTTTAAGAGTTCTAGGGGAGAAATTCAAGATCAGGGTGTGAGCTTGGCCAGGTTCTGGTGGAGGAGCTCTTCTGTTTGTATACTCATATGGTGGAAAGAGTTCTCTGGGATCCTTATCAAAAGGCATTAATCCTATTCATGGGAGAGGGGGCTTCACTCTCATGACCTAATAATGGTTGCCCAAATCCTGACCTCCTAGTACCAAAACACTGGGGTCAGGATTTAAGCATATAAATTTGGGAGAGTGGGATACAATCATTCAGTCCATTGTAGTCTGTGTGAGATAACTCGAATAAAAGATTCCTTTTAACATTTTTCTTGGAAACACTGCTATTTACTACCATACACATTTTTCATATCATTTTATTCTTGCCAATATACTTAGTAATGATTCTATATGGGTCTGAATACAATTTCAGGTGATTATTGTTGTATGTTTTTGGAAAGCATCACTACTACACTGAGCGATGTTTAGTTTTTAGATACTTGACCCCTGTAATTTTTGCCCCTTTCTTGAAGCTCAGGGTCTTAGTACAGTGTCGGTTTCTGCATCATACCACCAGTGTTTACAGATTGCTGCCAAAAGTCAAGACAAGGAGGGAAGGAAGCCCATTGTTGAGAAAACGTGGACAGACACTGAAAGTTAAAGCTGACAAGTAGCAGCAAGCAAGCAAATTCTTCAGCACAACCAAGATTGTATAATGCATTGATAAACATACACAAAATTCTCATTTGTTAATACCATTTGTCCAAAAATACTGGCCCTATGGAGGGCAAAATAAAGAGATACAGTTCTCATTCTTGAAGGGAGCGCCGTATACGCTGAGGACATAAGAGAATCATGTACATACATTTACATAACATAGAATTAAGTGTGAAGGTCCCTTGTACCACTGAAAAATTTTTTTAAATGGAAAAATTTATATAAGGCTGGAGTCAAAATGGTTTTATGCATTTAAAGGAGGACTTGCAGAAAATGGGAAGTTTGAATTTGGACTGGTGGAAAAGGGCAGAAAATGCATTTCTTGTGAGGAATAGTAGTTGAGTAATTCCCAGACACACATGATTCTGTCCACTTACAAGTTCATTTTTCCATTTCCCTAAGTTCCTCTTTGCTGCTTTCTATTCAGATATTTGAGGCGCTGGCTCCCACTGGTCATTTAAACTTGCCTTAAGAATGCTTATATCATCTTACTTATGTATGCTCTAGTCTCTCTGTAGAATTAGGTCTTATTTTATTTTCTTCAAAGAACTTGCCTTACCTGATATTGTCTCGTTTACTTATTTATGTTTATTTTTTCTTCCATCCTCCACTAAAATGTTAGCTACATGAGAGAAAAGAATTTGTCCATCTTCTTTACCTGCTATTCAACAGCAATCTGAACAGTATTTAACATAAAGTTCACAACTAATTGTATTTCTTGGATAAGTTGAAGAATGCATCACACATAATCATATGACCTTGCCTCTTTCATGACAAGAACTGGGACTTCAGTATGTTCTTTTCTCAGTCTCTCTACTAACTAGAGGTTTCATGATTCACATTCTTGCTTCATTTAAAATCTATTCAACAATAAAAAAGAAAAAACATGAATATTTTATCAGATAAACTATTCTTACATCTGTCTTATAAAGGTATGAATTTGGAAAGATGAAACATCGGGTGTTTTATATTTACAGTATGATAAATATGATAATTTAAAATGTATTATGGATGTTTAAAACAAAAATCACTCAGATTTTATTTTGTTTTCTCTAATACTGTCTGTCTCATAAGATTTGCTATATTCTTATAGCATTGCTAAAAGAGTTTTGAGTTTTAAATTAAATATGATACCCATATGGTTGTCATTAAAATTTTGTATTTAAAAAATCCTTTTGCATAACAAAACAGTTAATTTATTTGTGTTGATTGTTTAAGTTTTTATCAAAAGGAATGTGACATTTTATTTTATGGATTAAGATTAAGAGAAATATGAGAAGTATTTAGGACTTCTAAAATGAGGAATTTCCTTCATTGCTTGAGACAGAAAATATGGAATCCTATGGCCCAGTAATTCCTCATGGGTTTTGCAGTCACAGACCACTGTAATCTCAGTTACTTTGAGAGGCCAAGTCAGGTGGATCACCTAAGGTCAAGAGTTCAAGACCAGCCTGGCCAGCATGCTGAAACCCCGCCTCAACTAAAAATACAAAAAACTTAGCTGGGCATGGTGGCAGGTGTCCATAATCCCAGCTACTTCATGAGGCTGAGGCAGGAGAATCGCTTGAACCTGGGAGACAGAGGTTGCAGTGAGCCAAGATCGCACCAATGCAGTCCAGCCTGGGCGACAAGAGCGAAACTCTGTCAAAAAAAAAAAATAAAAATCCACAAGCAACACATTAAAGTAAAAGAGATGTGATTAAATAAATACAAACTTTTTACCACTCCTGTAAAATGACTCAAAATTAAGGTCCTAGCAATTCCAGCTTTGTATTTAAAGGGCAGCCCATTATTATAGCGATGTCAAAGAAACTTAGATTATTACTAAAGAAATGTGAACTGAGGGTTGTTAGTAACTGTTTTCAAGCATACAAAAAGTGCTGTAAAAAAGTTTGACCAGATGTTTTCCATCTACATGGAGACAGAATCAAATTAAATGATGGCAAATTATAACAAGAAAGACGTAAATTACACCTAAAAAAAAAAAAAAAAGCATCTCCCCTGGATAAGGTTATAGAAATGGCACAGTTGTCTTTCATGAGTTAAGTACAGCAATACTTGCAGGCAGAGAATAAAGAGACAGTACTACCAGGATTTTTCTTCTGGGAGAAATACACACAGGAGTCTCCAAATAAGAGGCTCACTATTACCACAATAACAAGATACACATATTAGGGTCTTGTCTGTCCCCAGTTCATCATTGTACTTTCATTTGGAACCAGGAAAAGAAACAAGAAAGTGAACCAAGAAAGTGTAACTAGATTAGAAAGGTTGAAGAAGATGGAAATAAATGAGGGAAGATTAAAAATGCACAGTTGGAAAGTAGATAATAGTAAACCCAAGGGCTTTTTCCAATACATACCAGTTCTGAAGTCCTAAACAGGTGACCTAGAAAACATCACAAACCAAAACTCATTGAAATTCAATGCAATCAATTTCATATATGTGCATTTAGAAAAACTAATGAGATTCTAAAACATTAATCTATTCTAAAGGGGTGGCTGATTTCAAAAAGTTTCAGGATCTTAAACTAAACATTGCTGTGGAGTAATTAATTGTGTTGCTATTCCAATCACAACTTTGCCTTAACAATTTGGCATTAGCTAGATTGAAGACTTTTTTTTTTTTCTGGATGTGGACTGAGAAAATGTCCTTAGCAAGGCATCAAGTGTTTTTCAGGGACTATTTAAAGCTAAAGAAATACCCTGTGGCTCCCATTTACCTGACATTACAATTTAGGAGAAAAATCTTGGAGCTCATGAAAGAGAAAGAATGTTTCTCCAAGTCTATGTCTCGTCACCTGGTTCTCTTTCCCAGAGAGCACATTCAGCTCTGTCTTTATTGAGTAAAGGTAAGGCATCGTATTTTTGTTTCCTATCTGTCTCATTCCATCTTTTGTCTCAATAAAATACATCCCCAGTACAATATTGTTTGCTAATAAATATATAAGCTATACAGTCTCTTTGAAAGAAAGAGAAAAATTAATGATCTCGATGCTAAATATATAAATCAAACACCAAATATTGTACCTATTCTGTGGCTAGCTGTGGTAATTATACAAATACAAATGCAATAGAGCAGGTAGTTTAATGTAGATTTAACAGCTATGTAAATTGAAAATAGAGTTTCTTGTTTAAAACTACTCTGACTTTCTATCGGAGTCATCAAATATTATGAATAAATAAATAAATGCACATTACACTTAAAAATAAATTTTACCTGGTGCTATAAACCAGGGATTGCAAACTTTCTATAGAGGACCAGACAGCAAATATTTTCGGCTTCGTTGGCCATTCAGTCTGTAAGGGTTAATTTTAGATGTCATCTTAATAGGATTGAGGGATACTCACATTGATGGTAAAGCATCATTTCTGGACCTGTCTGTTCTGAAGGTGTTTTCAGAAGAAACTGGCATTTGATCAGTGGACTTAGTAATGTCTATCTGCTATCACCATTGTGAGTGGGTGCTAACAAACTAGCTGAAGGCCCAGAGAGAACAAAAGGTAGGGGTTCAACCCTCAAAATCACATAAGCCAACTCCTCTAATACCCTCCTATTTATATCTATCTTTCTCTTCTTCTCTCTCTACATATATAAAATATGTATTTGAAATATTTTATATCATATAATATATAACATGTAATGATATATAATATATATATATATATATATATATATATCCTATTGGTTCTATTTTTATGGGGAACCCTAATATACAATCTATATTGCAACTACTCAACTCTGTCATTGTAGAACAAAAACAGTCATAGACAATATATAAATGGGTGAGTTTGGCTGTTTTCTAGTAAAATGTTATTTAAAAATTAGGCAGTAGGTAGATTTGGCCACCAGGCCTGTAGTTTGCTGACTGGTGATTTAAACATTTCCCTTTTGGAAACTTGTTTATATTCTGTCAGATATTCTCTCCTTTCAAGTATTTTTTTCGCTCAGTTGAAGTTCAAGAGAATGAGTAGAGGCAACTTCTCATTTGCCAGCCTCAGGGTCATGCTTCTGGCTTGTCCTGCTGGCTTAAGTTCTGAGGTCCGGATAATTTGTCGTCTGGAACTCTCCAGTAAGAGCACTATGTGGAGCTGCCTGGCTGCCTTGGTTCTCCTCAGGTCCTTTGGTGCTATGACTTTTCAAGTGTCTGGCTGGGGCTGCCACTTAGCCTCTGCAGTTCCCATGACCACTTCGTCACATTATGGAAATCTCTGACAAGCTTCTCAACCACATCTTCATCCCACCCATACCATATGTAAACAAAGGCAATTTGGGGAACTGTCTCAAGATCTCAGGTGTGTGACTATATTGTTGGCTGTTCCTGTGGTTTGCGAGAGATCCTCATGCTTCCCTCTTTTAAATATTACGCCGAATTATGTGATACTACCCACTTAGGTCAAAGCCAGAGAACTTCTCTCAATCTTAAACTTTAATATGTTTAAAAGCACTAAATTTTTTTCTCTAATAATAAATGAGTTTGCATCTTCTACTATATGTCAGAAGCTAAAAATTACAATCTTATTCCTCATCTTAGTCCTTCTCTAATAAATCTGAATTTACTTATCCTACCCACTCCCAAGGTAGATTAGGTGACAGGCCAGCTGGGATAAAGGTCTGCATTGAGAAAGTTCAGAAAGGAAAATAATTTAGTTTTCAAACTTTTACTCTGTTACATGTTATGTTACATTTTCCCTACAACAGTCCTGCTAGGTAGGTATTGTTGCACTCATCTAGAATAAAAAAATTAAGGTTGACAGAATTTGCTAAATAAAGCTTGACAAGCTGCTATTTAACAAATCAGAAGACGTATCTGTTTCTGTCTACACTCCTAATTCCCATTCAACTATAGTTCCTGGAAGACAGGAAGTTAACTCCTGGTAAAGGGCATGGTTTGGGTTCCAGTCCCAAATCCTTCAAATCAATGAATTTCTCTCCACCTTTGCATGGACTCATTGGGATTAAATGAGATAAATATAGTAACAGCTATCTTTCATCCAGCCCACGTGTGACACAGGCAGTTTCTAAACATTTAAAGATATTGTCTCATTTAATTATTAAAACAATACTATAAGGTATTAAAATTACTCTCATTTTTTAGTTAATGTTACTAAGGTCCTCAGCATAGATTCTGCTACTAGTAAATGCTTAGTAAGAACTAATTATTCTTAAAATTATTACTCTTCCATTAGAATTACACCCACCAAGAATATTTATACAGACAGCTTTCTTTCCAGAGCAGAAACAGTCTTTGATAGGCAGCCTTTATTTGCTCATAGTGTGAAGACTCCCATTCTTAAAAGGACTAAAAGAGCATCACACTTAAGAACAAATTCTGGTGTCCACATACATTGCCATTCTCCTCAGCACCCATGATGCTAGACCTTGCTGGGTGCAGAGCCCCAGCACATAAAGGCAGTGTTGAAAGCAGAAGGATAGGAAAGGATGTGTACCAGGAGAGCCAAGATAAGCCACTGGGTGAATTCAAAATCCGGGCAAGACTTTTCCCTTTTGAACTTACATTTGTTTAAATTTTAATCCTAACCCACTTGATTAATTCAATTTGGACAGTTTCCATTTTGAATTCTTAATATCACAACTTTATTTCCTCATTTCATGAAGAGGGGAGACATTGTACTATGGAAAAAGCCTTGGACCTGAAGCTAATATATGTGGTTTGTTATTTCTATTGTGTCACTAAATATGTGATATTAGCCCTAATCAAAATTATATGTATCTATTTGAAAACACAATCAAACTATGTAAGGCTATAAGACTAGATGTTCACAAAGATACCTCCCAGAGAAAAATTGTGTTTTGAATATTTTCTATTATCCTCAGCACAAATGCTGATGAATCTCTTCATCTTTAGTCA